CCCCGGAGACGCCATCTTAGGAGGCGCACGCTGGAGGTCGGCCCCATCTCGCGCCCCAGGAGTTGAGGGGGCCGGAACGCCGGAGCACGAGGGATGCTCGGCTCGCTGCGGCACGTCACGAGAAGGGCGGAGAGCGAAGTCGGGCGCTGCAGCGGGAGCTGCGAGGGGACAAAACTGTGCTGTCGCGCCGAAGGCGTCCTTCAGTTCAGCAGCCCTCAGAGGCGATGCAGTGAAAAAGAGTCAGAGTGGTGGATTTTCTTTGCATTCTCAAAGACTAGTGTAATTTCCGGAAAGCAAACCCCAAAACCGCACTCTGCATGCATTGTTAAAGATACAAACACCACTCAGTTCCTACGAACGTCATAGGGTTGAAAATCGGGGGTCTTTTGACATCCTTGTCTTGCACGGTGAAACATTCGTTTGAAGTTGACTATTAGAATATTCCATGAAAAAGTAAAGTAAAACATCCACAGCATGGCCCGTACGGGGATCGAACCCGCGACCTTGGCGTTATTAGCACCACGCTCTAACCAACTGAGCTAACCGGCCATTTTGTAACAGTTTAGCTTTATCTTCTTTCTGTTATTAAATCTTGACAATGTGTCTATGGAGTGGGAAGCGCTTTTAATGTGTTTCGCTTTCTTTTAATTTTCTTTCCCATTGTAAAACTAAGCATATCACATCTGTAAGTTATCTCATGTGATCTCTCTGACAGACTAGGAATCCCACACCAGAGCAAAGGAAGAAGTAGCTGATTCTTTGACTAAGACATGCTATCAAAGAAAAGTCCCTATTTGTTATTGTGGTTCTTCTTATACTAAAGAATTTATAGCGATTTTTTTTCACAAATGGTTGATTTTTTTGCAGCAGGAGACAGCTTCAAAGGTTGGATTTTCAAAATTCCATTTACATATATTTTTTTCAATATGTGCAGCATATGAAGAATTCTAAGCAAAGTGAATTATCCCTTCAGTCCTGGTTCTACAATGAAATAACCTATTACTAGCAGTATATAGTTAGTGCTAGTAATAATTAGTGTTTATTTCATCTGATAAATATATCAACCCCACCCTACTATTTCAGTCCTGCTATTGGATTTAAATAAGCAGTGTTCTCATAAGCACATTTACTCATTACTAAACCTCAAAGAATATTGTGAGATTTCTATCAGTCTGCCTGAATTTACACTTTCAATTTCACAATCTCTCAATAGTAAATCCATGGAATTGTGGACACCATAGAGTTAAGTACAATTCCTGATAACTACATGGGCACAATCATGCAATTTTCTTCAAACTATTACAGTAGTGCTTTGACATTATTCTGGGATGTTTTTTACTTCTCATTTTACACTAATGCCCTGGTGATCTTCCATCAAAGTACTAACTGGGCCAGTTCTGTTTCCCTTTTCAGTACATACAGGTAAGCCAGGTTTTATCTCCTGAGGAGTGAGGCCCAATTTATGTAGAATTGTGTTTTAAATCACTCACAGATATGATAGAGGTAAAGCACGAAAGAGAATAAATGGAATGCTTAGGGAATGATTCATCAGTGATCAGGGACTAAGGTGAGGAGGTATGGTATCCCCTTGGTTGTTTCATGTATTTATGGATAAATGTGTAAGAAATTATTGTGGTGAAGTTAGAGATGTGAATGTTCATACACTTTTGTATGCAGATGATATTGTGTGGTTACGTGAGAATCCAAAAGATTTGCAATGAATGTCAGGTAGATTGTATGATGCAACAAGGAGTATGGATTTATAAATTAATGTATCAAAGACCAAGATAGCTATGTATGTTTGACAGGTAAAACAATTGCAGATCATATAAAAATGGTGAAAAGTTAGAGCAGTTAGATAAATTTGTGCATGTTGGTACAGTAGAATGTAAAATGGAGAAAGGATAGTGGATTTTTAAAATTTATAAATGCTGGTAGAAAGATAATGGGTAGCCAGTGATGTGTTGCAAGAAATAAATGTTTGTGGAAAGAAATTAAAATGGCTGTGTGTAAGAGCATGTTTCTGCCTACTTGGTTATATGGCAGTGAGAGTTGTCACAAAAAGTTGGATGCAAGTGGAATGGCTTATTTAAAATATTTGTATGGTAAAACAAGAATCAATAGGGTTAAGAACGAATGTATTCTTAATGAATGTGAACTGAACACAAAAGTCAGCAATCAGTACAAAAGAAGTACTTTGAGGTGCTTTGGTTTTATAGAGAGAATGAATGAGGACTGAATAGCAAAATGAAAATATGAAGAAAGAGTGAATGGATAAAAACTGGAAGGGACAACTGGAAAAAAGCTTGATTGGATAGAATTGATGACATCCTCAAAGAGATGAAAAGTCCAAACAAGCAACAGGCAACATATGAAGCAGTGTATGGACACGGTAGGAGCAAGGAGAGTTTGCAAGGATAGAAAGGTATGGAGTGGTGTTGGTGTGAGCTAGATTTTGCTTTGTTTTTATCTGCTTTATCTTGTATCTTTGTCTTACCGTTTCTTACACCATTTCTGCACTTTACATAACACAGCTTACCTCAAAAGGGGTACCACAATAGGAATGTTTAGTTAATTAATCCAATTTATCCCACCATGTGCTGCACTAGGTCTGCAAATACCAGGTGCAGAGGAACACCTGCAGAAGAGGATTGTCTCCACATCATTTCTGAGTCCACCAGAGGCATCTCATTGGTCACTGCCAGCCACCAGATGTTGGACTAAAATGGAGCCTGGTCTGATCCAGCGGTCGGATTATTACAAAGTCGGTTTCGGTTTCCATGCCATGCTACACTAAAACATGGTGGGTTAATAGTAGTTCAATCTTTAATGTGTCGCTGCAACAGGGCTTACTCCCAGGAAAATACGCGCAACTCTGTTGCATCCTTAATTAGTACCAATGGCGGGCTTCGCCCTAAGAAAACAGCCATACTGTATATCGGACCTCAGCGGGGAGGGGCGGCTGTAACGATTGAGGATGCGCAAAGACGAGCGAGACCGACGAGCGGCGGGCGAGGAGTAAACTGACAGTCCGCATGCGCATCTCCGAAAGACCGCAAACATGAAGCCTGCCCTTCGCCTGCCACAGTCAATAGGAGAGGGCGGAGGTTAGTAACTGCGCTTGCGCCGCTCTTTCGGAGGCCGGCGCAGCTGCGAGGGTGGGGCGCGGCTGACACGGTTGTCCTCTCGGGTTGAGGTGCTTGATGCTCTAGGGTTGCCAGGGTGACGGGGATACAACATGGCGCGCTGACAAGTTCTGCCGTGGGGAGGGGGCCTGGCGGTTCAGAGAGGACCTGTGTCCTCACCCCCCTCCCCGCCCCTTGACCCGGAGGGAACCTGCGGGAGAGGCGGGCTCGGAGGATGAACAGTAAGGGAGAAGGCGCGGTGGTGGCTTCGCGGCTCCTCATGGTGGCATAGATCGGAGATGGCGTTCGGCCTGCGGATTCGGCGAGCCGGCGGATTGGGGAGGGGACGTGTGTGGAGTTGGGGTGTAGGAAAATGGGCAGCCCCTTCCCTTTTTATAAATTGGCGAGTCGAGGAAGAAATGTCTACTTGGAGAGAGAAAGCGAGAAGCAGACTTGGCACTTGGCTTGATCCATTTTTTCTGTTTAGGCAATTCGACGAGGGTGTCGTGTTGGGGATTAGGGCCAAGGACCCGCAGTCGAGGCCACGGGAATGGGTGTCGTGGGTTGGCGGAGGCATTACGAACTTGCCCTCTCCTGCCGTTATTACTCCAGGCGGGAGAAGGAGGGGTTTCAGGGAGGCGCAAAGTGTTGCAGAGTCCGGCTCTTGCTTAGAGTGAGATAAAGAACGGCTCCTATCGCGTCTCGGAATAACGTGGAACCCTGGCCTTGTGCATACGAGCTCCACAACCGGGGCTGAAAAGGCCAGAGACAGCGGGGGCAAAAGGGGCTGATCACTCCAACACCGTTGGTAGGGGCTGCAACAGTAAGAAGTGTGTCGTTGGTCTTTTTAGTGGTTCTGCATTTTTCTTTCAACTCTACCTGTCCTTCAACTTTTCCCAAACCAAGCATGAATGGATATTAATTTCTCTGTTCCAAGACATCTGGTGAACTCTGTGAAATGGTCCATGTGAAATGGTCCATCAAGCCACAGTAAATGTTCAGACTGTATTCCACCCTAAGCACTCTTCCTGTGTACTTACCACAGATGTAGAGATTTTAATTGATCTTATGCTCACAAGACTCTTGTTTGGGAATAGTTTTCACTGAACTTAGAACTCAGAAATGAAAAGGAAGCACTCAGTTGTCAGAATCCATTCTATAACGCTGAACTAGGAAACCCTTTGATAGCTGGAAGCTGTTTGGAGGGAGTAAGGACTGCAGCAGATAGGATGATAATCTAAAATCTTTTGGTGGATCTGGGATTTCAGAGAGGTGTCTGTGGATTCTGATTTTTTAGATGCAAAAAATCTATGTTACTGTTTTCATTTGTTTCTTGTCTCAAAACTGCACCATCAGTTTTCAGTAACTATGCAATCAGGGAGCTCTGTTCCTATTATTATTTTATCCCACTAATGTCTGTCTGTCTGTCTGTCTATCTCTTTATTTCAGCTCAAGGTGACAAGCAAGGCGGCCTCCTATTTTCCCCACAAATATTAAAATGGTTTTGGAGGCCACAGGTTGTCCTTTTTTGCTCTAATAGCTTATTCACATCTATAAAAACAGGTAGAAGCTGGCAACTTTAGAGGAATCCTGTCAGTTAAAGTACATGTTTGTATGTATAAATTCCGGCAACAGTTTTCAACATTTCTCTTTACAGAATTTGGAATAGCCTGGCTAGGAATGATTTCTGCTTTAGATCTGTTGGGCAGGTGATTAATGGTCCCTCACACACATGTGTACATTAATGTAAAAACGTTCACATGCATAGAAGGTGGTTTATAGCAAATATTAAAGAATAGAAGGCAGTGATGTAGAAATAAGGGCATACTCTTCTTCTTTCAGTTGTAATTTATATAATGTATATATAAATAAAGTCATAATTTATATTTATTTATATCAATTGAATAAAATATGAGATGATACATGTATAAATCATAGGATCCATTGGAATATTCTGTTTAGGCTGAGTCTACCTCTTCTGTAGTGCAAGAGGACTCATTCCCTGACAGACTGTTGCGCAACCTGCAATTTGACACATTCAGTGAAGAGCAATCTTGCCTTGCTTAAGAATTGTTCTTGAGCTTCTTCTCTGTGATACCTTCCTGATAATCAAAAAATACTTTCATATTTCCCCATTGTCTTTTTTCAAGGCTAAACATATCCAGTTCCCTCAGTCTCTCATAAAATTAAATTTCCAGTCCCAATAATAAACCATTTTGCTGAAATAGGAAATAACAGAAGGCTTATATCATATTAGCATAGGAAGGATAGTAGAGGTGATGTGATAGTGCTGTGTATCACCTGTAAGAATGGGGAGATAAGATAGATTCAGTGCCTGGAATGCTAAGGGTATATCGGCAAGCTAAGGTCGTAGGGCCATAGGCACTTCCTGAAGAGCATTTTGAAATCTATAAACTTGCCTCTGACCACAATAACTGAAAATCAGCATCTTTAATTTCCAGCTTTATTGAGGAAGGAAACTAACAAAAACTGGGTAAGCCTTAACCTAATTAAATAATATATTAAAATACAGTGGGGCAAAAAAGTATTTAGTCAGCCACCAATTGTGCAAGTTCTCCCACTTAAAAAGATGAGTTTTCATCATAGGTATACCTCAACTATGAGAGACAAAATGAGAAAAAAAATCCAGAAAATCACATTGTT